CCGGAGCTGGGGAAGGGCGATGCTCAGCAGGGCAGAGGGGCAGGGTGTGCCCTCCTGCGGGACTTTGCTTGGCCTGAGGTGCCTTGAATTTACCCAGTAGCAAACTGTGGGATGACACCCTGCTGGGTGGGAATGTTGTTGCGCTGGAGGGCTGGAAGGCTCTGCAGAAGGATCTCTGACAGACTGGATTGATGGGCCAAGACCAAGAATATGAGGTTCAACAAGGGGTTCTGCTCTTTGGCCAGAACAGCCCCATTCAGTGATACACGATGGGCGATGAGTGGCTGGAAGTTGGCAAATGCAGCAAAAGGATGTGAAGGTAGCAGCTACCAGCAGCTGGACATGAGCAGCATGTGCCCAGGTGGCCAAGGAAGCCTGTGGCATCCTGGCCTGTATCAGGAACAGTGTGACCAGCAGGAACAGGGAAGTGATTCTTCCCCTCTACTTGGCACTGATGCAGCTGCACCTCAACTGCTGTGTCCAGTTCTGGACGCTCCAATTCAGGAAGGACATGGAGGTGCTGCAGCAAGTCCAGAGCAAGGCAATGAAACCGGTGAAGAGTGGAGGAAACAGTTCTTACAAGGAGCAGGTGATGGAGCTGGGGATGTTGTGCCTGGAGAAGAGGATGCTTGGGGGTGACCTACTTACTCTCTAGAGCTCCCTGAAAGGACATTGTAACCATGGTGGTCTATCTCTTCTCCCAGCAGCAAGATGAGAGGAAATTGCATGAAGCTGTGCCAGGGGAGGTTTAGGTTGGACATCAGGAGTAATTTTTTCACAGGAAGAGTGGTTCTGCATTAGAATGGGCTGCCCAGGGAGTCACAGTCCCTGTAGATGTTTAAGGAAAGTCTGGTTGTGGCACTTAGTGCTGTGGTCTAGTTGACATGTTGGTCATAGGTTGGACTCAATGGTCTCAGACGAGTTTTCCAATCTAATTGAGTCTGTGAAACCCAGCAGACATAAATAATTTCATCCCAGTGAGGCAGTTGATGCTGGTGAAGATTCACTTACAGAATCTAAAATTGGGAGATAAATTAACATGGGTTTCCTGTGAGGTTACATCATTATTTTAAGCAATATAAATGCAAACATATGTATATGTTATGTAACAATGTGAATATTTCCTCCCTGAGCCTCTAAAAATAAATATACAAACATATTTATTCAGTATATAGGAGTGAACTACTCTGTACTATTTTTTGGTTTTTTTTTTGCTTTTCATTTAATTGATTTGGAGTACTTTGGGATCATTCTTAATTTGTAACATGTAAGCAGTGGGTTTCAGGGTGGATCAGGAGTAAGAAGTTTTGAAGTCACTAAAGATAAATTCCCTGAGCCATGAAACCTCTTCTTTTCACCTGAGGCCTCAGGCAAAAAATATGTTTTTTCACTTCTCCATTCTCATGGGTGTAATTAAAGCCAATAGAACACTTTTTAACAAGTAAAAAAAACCATTAGGTACTATGTATTAAACAGAGTAACTGTATCATATATGTGGCAAATTTATAGCAAGCACAGAAACTTGTGACATTTGAGTAGTTACCTTGTTTTTGCCCGACCTGTAAAGTATCAAGTGGACTTTAAACTACAAAGAGGACTGAAAAAGAGTAAAGAATGGGTCTTCAAAATCCATCATAGATATCTGAACATCGCTACTGCCTTGTAATCATACCAGTGTGGGTAGATCTGTACATCAGCACCAAGTGTGGCAAGGCTGTGCAGGATATTTTTCATTGCTGGTTTCAATATAGTAATTAAAAATGTCTTTCCTGCACACCATGCACTAGGCACTATGTAAGGTACCTGCTGCTTATTTATGGTTGGAATAGATACTGGGAAGAAACTTTGTACATTAACAGCAGATACATCTTGAGGGAATGCAAAACATTGAAATGGACACACTTACTAGAAAGTACTGCTAAATCTTGATGTCTCCTACCACTTTCCAGCAGCCTATTAGCAGCTGGGTACTGTACAGTGATCTGCCTTTGTGTTTCTTTCTGTTACCAAGCATAATCTGAAATACTGTCATCAGTAATTAAAATTAAGTAACATCTGTCATTTTGCAGTGCCTCCTTTGATTTCTTCCTTTTTCTGAGCTCTTTGTTCACTAACCCCATTCAGAAAATGTGAATATTTGTCACAGGTCTTTCACACATTTTTTAGGTTTTACTCATGCAGTGAAAGCATTTTGGGGAAAAAAATAGAAGCATATTTAACATGCATTTCGTTCTGCATGGGAGATCTTGTTGCATCAATGTGTTACCAAAAGAGGCAAAACCCAAAATAATATGCATGTGCAGATAAGCTAAACAGGTTCATAATGGGAAAGAAATCCCACTTTCCTAATGAATAAAAGTGTGTGTGTGCCACTGCAGCTCAAGAACTCAACTCTAAGCTGATAATGTTTATTAAGGAATGTAGTGTTAGAAGGCTGTGATGTTGGAGGGTTTAGCCTCAAGGAGGAGGGAGTTTTTGCATTCCCTTGGTGTGGCATGAGCAGCTGATCAATGGCTAATTGTGGTGAGGATGTGTTCCAGGGACTTGCAGCAGACTCCTAGCGCTGCAGTTGGGAGTCCTACTTTCAAATCAAAAGGGATAAATAATTCAGGAGATTGAATGAATAATAAAGTTCCAGTTTTTAATAGCAGTATAAACTGCCTGAGAACTTTTCGCTTTATATTATGAGACAAAATCTAAAATGAAATTAAATAAATCTGGCACATCTTAGAAGTTTCCTAAGAATTTCACACTGGTGTAATGAATTCATTGAAAATAGGACTGAAAAAGGCTCATTTTTAAACTCTTTTGAACACAGAACTTTTAAGTGAGGATTTTTGTCATGGACAGAGTATGTCTCATTAGTGAGTTTTTCAAAATACCTAATATATTGCATACATAAAACAAAGAAAGGGAAGTGACTACATTATAGTTAATCTTTCATTCTTGTTAGGACTGGGGAAAAGGGAAAATCAATAATAGTGATTTCAGTGAAAATATCAAGATTTATGAGAGCATGGAAATTATTATAAATAATGAAATTAATATGAAAAATTAATTAATTTGCTCTTTTTTTTCTAGTATGTTTTTGAATGCTCTGTGATATTTTCAAAGTGAGCTGTCTTGGGCTTTTTTGTTCCCAAACTACATTTTAATTTGGAAATTAATTTCTTTTTAAGCACTGCAAATGAAGGAAGCAAACCACACACACACTTTCATAATTTATCTCCAATGAAAATATGTTTATTCATTTTGAGACCAGGTGAAGAAACAAATTCTCCCAGGCATATTTCCCTTGGTTAATCTGTTTTTAAAATGGTATGGGTGCAAAATCTACAACTCAGTACAATGATATGGTACTTTAAAAGATGTTTTCTGCTAAGGAAGGAGCAGTGAGTAACACGTAAGTAGCAATTTGTCTGTGTGTTTCTGCAGAGGGAGGCTCAGCAAAGCTCAGGGATTGCAGGTGGGCACTGAGGGATGTAACTCAGGAATATTTTGAGCCCTGCGAGCCCAAACAAAAATGAACTAAGACACCTTTATAAAATTTAACTATGAAAGTACAGTATTTCCTACCTTTTCTCATCCCAGAAATCCTGTTTATCCACATATTCTCTTAAGAAGCCTTGGAAAGTTTACTAAAATGGGGCACTGTGTGATAGCAGATTACACGTGTTAACAAGAAGAGATTTGTGGTTTTTTGCTGGTTGTAGAGAATATCTGAAATGTTAACTTAATGGACAATAATTCTTCCATCCATAGGGGAATGCAGGCATCATGTGTGTATTTTTGCTTTTATTAATAGCATTTTGATAGTATGGTTATAAAGCTTGTCCTTGGCTTGCCTTGAAATATCATACGGACTTCACTTATTATAGAATATTACTTTAATTTTCCAAGGTGAAGTGCTCACAGAGCAGAAACTGGTGAGGAAAAAAATATGGCCAAAACA